TTGTATGGAAAATGAATTAGTGGGAGAGGGAGACAGCGGGACTAGTGATGGGGCTGTGAAATGGTCCAGGGGAGAGGTGACAGGGGACAGAAAGGGAAGACCAGAGGGAGGCAGATTGAAGGGAAGAACTTGGCAAGCAATTGGATTTGTGAGCAAAATGGAAGTGCTAAATCCTAGGCCTGACCTCCACCCTTGGACCTCAGGCTTGAGCTGCCTGGCCCTCTCAGAGGCTGGGCTCTGACCCAAGCGCTCACACAGGCCATCTCCAAGTACAGGCTTTAGAGCCAGTGATTCACAGAATGTCTCAGCTGGAACTGCCCAACCACTTCATTGTACACATAGGTAAACTGAGGCTCAGAGAAAGTCACACAGAATGTTAGTGGCACAGACAAGATGAGAACCCCTTAGAGGTATAGACTTCCTGTTGGGAATGCCTTCTCAGCTTTCTGCCCTGTCTCCTAGTTTCCACCCTCCCTCCAGTCCCTGCTTATGGGAGGCTCCCCACTCCACTATGGGAGACTGAGGCCCAGAGGGTTTGAGTGATCTGCCTGGCTTCTCACTCTGTAGCATGAGAAGCTGGTAGTCCTGACTCTCAGCCACCACAGCCTCCTCCTGTTCCATATACAGGTTTAGCTACCATTCTCCAAGGCCACCTCCCTGCAAACTGCCCCAAGGCCTGGATGGCAGCAGAGGCCAGCCCACAGGCAGGGATGGCCAATGCCAACTCACCCCTGCCTGACGCCATATTTTCATTGCAATAACAACAATAAAGGAAAATCGAGGCAAGTGAGCCCAAAGACCCTACAGCTCTCCCTCTGATCTCTTTCTGCTCTCCCTAATTCTGAAGGCCTGGCTCCTCCCTCAGGGGACACAGGCCAGGATCCCAAGAAGTGTAATAGGCAGGAACAGAGGGCCCTCGGCCCCCATCACCCTTCTCAGCTGGGTATGGGCCTGCAGCCTCCTGGTTATTGATTAAGGAGATAAAAATAACTTTGAGCTGGCCTGGAGCCGCCACCCTTGGGGCTAAAATGACTGAATAAGGCCCTCCCTCCAAGGGGTTGAAGACTGAGGAGAAGAAGGGAGCAGAACAAGGAGAATTAAAAAAAAAAAAAAAAGACTAAACAGGGACCCAGAGGCTGGGAAGGGGATGGGAGAGAGGAGGAGTGATGTAAGAAGGAAGGCGGCATGGCTGTGGACAGAGCCTGCCTATGAGGCCTGCGACTCAGAATGAAAGGGCTGGAGAGGTTGAGGGTGTGTTCAGGGTGGCGGGCAGCCTGGATGACAAGAACTGCCCAGATGTGTTCAGCACTGATTTGGCCCTGGGCTGAGCCCTCTGTTTATTTTCGCTCACTTAATTCTAGCCACGGGCCCTTGTGAGACAGATAGGATTTTGTCTCCATTTTGCAGATGAGAAAACTGAGGCTCAGAGAAGTGCTGTCACTGGTTCAAGGTCACACAGTGTATCTGATCTCACAGCATGCTCATCTAAACTGTGGGAAGTCCAGCCAGAAGATGGGCACGGATATTTGATGGATGAGGGAGTGGGGCCCAGCTGGGATTGTCTCCCCTCCTCCAACTCCCGTGATTAGAGACTGAGGAGAAACCAGTCCACAGGGAGTTCATGGCAGAGCCAAAGTCCCTAGAGCTGCATCCCTGAACCTAGTCCAACATCCATTGGGCTACACTGCTGGGCCTTGGAGGAGGAGCCAGGTTGGACCCAGGAAGCCCCAGGGGTGGAGGCAGAGAGTCTCCAGGGCCCCAGAAAGGAGGTTCAGGCTCCGGTCACATTGAAAGGCCCAGGCACCCCAGCTCCCTGTCTCCTAGCAACATTTGGCCTCCCTGGGGAAGGCATGTCCAGCAGAGCCCCTGGGCTCTAGAATGGCAGGTGAGGGTAGTGAGAATGGATAGGCAGAGGGCCCACAAGGCTGGTCTCCATAGGGGTAGTTGGGTGGTGGGCTCAGAGGTGTGCTACCTCCCCTTCCCCCAGGTTTACACCTCCTCCCTTTGGGTACCACACCTGAACGTACACACAGGTGCTCCTGTGTAAGTGCCCGCTGTCACAGTCAGCTCCCAGGCTCCCCTGCCCCTTTGTCAGCTCTGGAGCCCTGATGGAGCTGAGGGAGTGCGGTGGGGCTGGAAAAATGATCAAACTCAGCTGGCTGAGGGGTGGGGCATTCTGGGCTGCAAGAACGGGGCTGGACAGACAGACAGGCAAGGGTCTGCAAGAGGAAACTGCTGCACCAGCGCCCTAGGCAGGCTCCTTAGCTGCCCCACCCCACCCCGTCAGCCCCAAGTCAAGTGCCATGCAGGCTTCTTACACCAGGTGGTGCTGTCCCCCTTGAAGGCCCTCTTCTGGTTGGGTGGAATAAAGCAGTGCCAGGACTTGGAAATAGGCAGGACTAATATTCAGAAAATAACAGGCACAGCACTATTGGCTGTGAAAATAGTGAGATGCATGTGTCCTATTTTTTGGCAAACAGTCACTACCTTGAATCTCCCTCCAGAGACCCCAGATAGCCCAGAACACTCCATCTTTCCAGATCTACAAACTAAACACTAACAGGTCTGTGTCCTACATAGCAGGGGTCCTCCAAATTGGTTAGCACTTTAAATATTTGTATAACCCACTCTGGAAAGGGGCAAATACTCCCTGAGCCCCAAAGCAAGCCAGGTTTCTCAGTCCCACAAGGGCCAAACTGACCCCCAAGCCCAGGCCACAAAGCCTGCGCTGGAAAGATGTGTGGGGCTTAACATCAGGCCAGTCAGGCACCTCTCTTGGTCTCTTCCCCTCCCAGGGCTGCAGTAAAATAGGTATGGAGGGTGGTTTAGATGGTTTCTGAGGACCTTCATTGCTACTTTTACTGAGCTGTGATTCCTGGTCACTCTCTCTTCATCTGTCTGTCTGTCTGTCTGTCTGTCTCTCTCTCTCTCACATACACACACACACACACACACACACACACGCACTCATGCATGACTGCCTTTTATTTTCTCTTCCCCCAGAACTGACTCATGACCTGGAGATGAGAGAGGCCCAATATCACCAGCAAGGTAAGAGAAGGATGATGGTAGGGAAGTGCCACGGGGACCCAACAGGTCACCTTTTCTCCACCACCACTTAGTAGGGCCCAAGCCTTCTCTGTCCCCAGTCTGGACTTGGGGACAGCCACTCCTCAGCTTGTTGAGCAGGGTGCAGGACGTGAGCCCTACTTGCCCACTCAACTGGGTGACATCGTGCAGGGAATAACCCATGCCACCATCCACAGAACCCATATCCACGTCTCTGTCCAAAGTAGGAAAATGAAAGCAAGAAGGAGATGGTGTCTGAAGTCCACCTCGCCTACTTCATTCCTTTCTTCGACCCACCTCCCCAGTCATTCCTGTCCTTACACAAGTGATTCCCATAGTTAGTGTCCACACCCGCCAAGATGCTGAGGGTCAAAATACAACACAATGGCCATATGGGGTCCCTGACTTCAGAGGTTTTAGTCTAGAGGAGAAGAGTGATACACACACATTAGCAAATCCTTCCTTGTAAGAACATGACTTTGTACCATTGTAGCAATTCCACTAAAATATTTGTGTACAGATTAATACTCCACTCACAAGATCGGGGGGGGGTGAGATGGGGAGATGATGTTCAATGGGTATAGAGTTTCAGTTTTACAAGACAAAAAAGTTCCAGAGATCTGTTGCTAACAATGTAAGTACACTTACTACTACTGAACTGTACAGTTAAGTGATTAAGATGGTAAATTTTATGTTTCTTTTACCACAATTAAAACTTCTTTAAAATGGCAGGTGTTCCATGTGGAGATCTTAATCACCAGATTATATGATCTCTGAGAACTATAACTGGGTGTTATCTATTGTCTCCAAGTGCAAGAGACATCACCTGACATGGAGAGGGAGTTGGTTGATGCTTAATTTAAAATGAATCACAAAAAGTCTTTCTTAGCCAGGAAGAATTTAAGAATGGACTCTCTGCCATATTAATGTGTTGCTTCTAGATCAAGAGCTGCATGACCAAGAGTTAGGCATGCAGAAGGCTGGCAGTTTAAGGTAAATTGTTAGGAGCCCTACAAATTGCTTTTTGCATTCATGCATAAAAATGTAAACACTTATGGGCTTGAATGAATTCTGCCCACTTCTTTAAGTAGCAACCATATGCAACTTCTTGGTGCCTAGGTGCTTGGAAAAGGAGACACACATCCCAGAGTCAAGATGAGGACAGTTCTGTGACAGTAGCAACTTTCACCCCAACTGTCTTCCTCTGAAAGGGCTTTTGGTGTTATCTGGGCTCAATGCACTGCCCAATATTCTGGTTGTCTTCTCTGAGTAGGCTTGACACTCTCTTTGCTCAGTGATCACTATCCTATCACTTAGGGATTTCCACATCCTTTCCAGAGTCGCCTTTGCCTACCTTTGTCACCTTTCAGCTTCTTATGTCTCTATACTCACTCAATTGTGTCAGTACCAGGATATAGTCCCTGCTGAAATGGAGCCTGTATGATGCAGGAGGCAGGTCTCCTCAACTCTGGGGGTACATTGGAGTAACCTGGGAAGATTTAAGAAGTCCAGGTTCCCAGGTCCAATCTCAGAGACTCTGATTCAATAGGTCTTTGGTAGAGCCCAGGAAACTATTTTTCAAAGCTCTCTCAGTGGTTCCAGTGTGTATCCAGGATTGAAACCCAGTGCAGTGGGCAAAAGCAAACAATAAACAGGAAAAGAGAAAATTACAAAATGTAATTTATGCTCTATGAAGAAAGCAACAAGTTTTGGGGCACACCAACTCCCCTTTCCTGCGACACTGCCAGGTCATTCAGTCCCTTGCTCTAACGTGGTTCCACTGCCACAGGGCTTTTGCACCAGTTGTTCCCTGTCATAAGCACCCTTCTTTCCCCTCTTCACTGCTTAACTCCTATTCATCCTGCAGATCCTAGCCCTTGTTCTGCTGATAAGCCTTCCTGACTCCATCACGGTTTGCTGTTACAGTCTTGGCAGGGGCACACGTCACAGACTCAAGCTCACATTCACCTGTGAATACGTGCTATACCTCTCCCACTATGTTTGCTGTAAGCTTCATAAGGAATGTTTTATTAGCCACCATATCCCCAATGCCTAACACAATACACTTAGTAAGGGCTCCACCATTATCTGTGGGTGAATAAACAGTCAGGGAGGGTTTTGCACTTAGATTGAAACCTAAAAAATTAGAAGAGTGGCCAGGCAGAGTGTAGGATATGTGCCAAGGCCCTGAGAAAAATAAAGGAAGGCCAGGGAAGCCGCGTGGGGAGTGTGGGAGGCGCGGCGGAGTGTGTAGTCAGGGAGGTGCTGGGCTTTGTACCGTGGGTCGGTGAGCTGTGCTGGCTGAGCCAGTGGGGACCGTCACCTCTACCCTATACCTCCTCTTCCCAGAGGCGGCGTCCCGGGAGCTGGAGAACAAGTGCCGCGCGCTGGAGTCGCAGCTGGCTGCGCGGAGCGCGGCCAACGCCGAGCTGCGACGGGAGGTGGCTCAGCGCGAGGCGCTGGTATCCGCGCTGCGCTGCAGCCTGCGCGCCGAGGAGCGGCGCTTCTTGGAGGAGCTTCGTCGCCGCAGCCACCGCGCCACCGTGCTGGGCACCGAGCTGCAGAAGCACACGGAGGCGGCTGCCTACCTCTCCTGCCAGCTGCACGCGGTGCGTCAGAGACTGCAGACTCCGCGCCCGGGCCCCGGCGCCGCCGCCGAGCCTCGGCCCCGCCGGCGCGCACAGCGGGCCCGCCGCCTGCCCGCCGACGCCTCCGCTAGGGTCCCGGGCCGGGACTGGGCTGCCTGGGACCGCGCGGCCGGCGCCCTGGCCGACGCAGACCCCATGCCCGACCCCGCGCTCTTCCTCTGCGCCCGGAGGCGTCCGCCGCCGCCGCAGGAGCCTCCGGACCAAGCCAGCCCGCCCAGCGCGCCTGGGGACCCGGAGTAGGAGCGGGCCTGGCGGGGTGGGCCGCCCGGCTGGGGACGCAGCTCGGGCCGCGTAGGCAGGTTCCGGGGGCCGAGGGCGCCCGCCCTCCTCCGAGGAGCAGGCGGACGCGGCCCCGACTCCCCACCGCTTCCAACCGCCCCCGCCTTTTGTGTTTCCCAACGTTTCGGAAGCTTCGAGCTCCCCTCTCCCGTAAGGGAGCTCCTCTGCGGGGCTGCGCGCTGCGCCCTGTTTGTGAAGAGGACTTGCAGTTCCGGTCCTTATCCGCCCCCTCCCCTGCCACTGGGAGGGGAGGGGGCGGGAGTCAGTCCCTGCCCCGGGAAGCCGACAATCGTTCAGCGGGAAGGGGAAGGCTGGGCTGGCCTACGGAAGGAGCTCAGCGTGGCACTTAGCACCCCTAGGCCTTCCAGCTCCCCACTCTGACCTCCCCGAGCCCCGCACGGCAGCCCTTCCTTCCCCCAAGCCTTTATCCGAGGGGCGGCTCGGGTTAGGGGCTAGAGGCTGGACCTTTTCCTCGGAAGCCGCGTCCCCTACCCTCACCCGGCTGATAGGTCCTTACAGGTGAGCACCGAACACTTTAGAAGACATCCCCTATAGCCCCTGGTGGGGAAAGTGGCCTGATGGAACTTAAGGAATATACACCCATTGACCCTTAGAAAGGATTACAAAATGAGTTTGGTAGCAAAACCTTTGGTCTGGAGCTGTCTCCAGCTCAGTTCTTCCCCAGGTTGACCGTGGAGGTACAGACTGGGAGTGTGCTGGGAAAGTAAGGGCGAGCCGGGGTTGGCTACCCAGCCCTTCGGCTTCTGGAAGGGCAGAAACTGCCTTCCCCTTGAGGGAGCTGGGAACCCGTAGGCTTCCCTGGAAGCTTTCCTAGTCCTGTTCATTGGTGCTAACTTTGCCCAGCTGCACCCGGAGGTGGAAAAGAGGTTCCACGGGTCTTGGAAGTGACGGTTAGAGGTTTGGGCTTGCTGGAGTGGGGAGAGGGGTAAGCACAGGTAGTCCCCAGCCTGGCCCACTCCAGAGATACCCCCAATCCCATTAGACCTACGGTGATGGGCACTCAGTAGCCTCTGAGTTGGGGAGTGGAGTTGGAGGAGGAACGCCCACCTCCGGCTTCCCAGCTCCCATAAACCAAAGGCAGGAGGTGCAGCTCTTGAACAGCTGCTGGCCCCCACCCCCAGTCCAGCCTAGAAAGAAGACAAAATGCCTAGAGGTCCCCATCCCATGCCCGTTGGTCCTGCATTGAGTCCTAAGTGCCTGTGAGGTCTTCCAGGGGCTGTAGAGGGAGGACATGGGGCAGGGAGAGGCCTTACCTCACTCACAGACACCCTACCCTGCAGATCCTGCCCTGGCTGAGGCCCAGCATCCTGGGGACTGGGAGGGGAGCAGAGTCAATCTCCAGGGATGATGAACCCTTCTTCCATCACACCCCCCATGATGAAGAGGGGAAATCACCCATCATATCCTCCTTCACTCTGTACGTTAGTGTGGGAAATCGGCAAGAAGCAGAACCAGTGAGCGCACGCCCAGCCCACACAGCTCTGTGCCCTCCTGCTGCCCACACTCAGGCCTGCTGAGACCGCTGGGCAATGACCAGGCTGGTCTGGGGATCCAGCTCCTGGAACGCTGACAGCCAAGTCGTGGGCACCCTGGAGACAGACAGTGCTCTCCGGTCTGATGTGGGCTGCACTGGTGGCCCCGGGGCCTTACTCTGCCTGCCTCCTCCTCTACCCGTCACCCCTCCATCTTTGTGGCTGTGCCTCTGCCCTCTGTGTCACCAAGTGTGACTCGCTGTACCCCTCTCCTGTTGCCTCCCTTTCTGAAGTGTCCATGTGAGGAGGCCTATCTCCTCTCATAGCTACACTCTCTTGAAGGGACCCAGAGGACTGTGGGGAGGAGGGGAAAGGGTGTCTTCTCAGAAGAGCCCACCCAGCCATGCAGCTGCACTTTCACAGCCACACTTTTGGAGTGAACAGGGTGACTTTGGTATGTTGATTCTTCTGCAGATATGGTGAAGTACTTTGTCCACCCTCCCACCCACTAAAAGCCATAGTTCTCCTACCTGTCCTCCCCCCAAAGCTCTATAGCAATAGCTCTCTTCTCCTCTCCCTCCTGGGTACTTGGGGTGTCCTGCTGGGGGCCCCCACTGCAGGGAGCTCCTGGTGGCCTGCCTGCTTCTCCCCAAGTGACCCCATCAACACCTCCCAACTCCTGTCCCTCTTCCATCAGCTGGAGATAATGACAATTTGCCAGGTGCTTGAAGAACCCCCAGGTGAAAGGCTCGGCTGGGACTGCTGACCTGCTGTCAGCAGAGATGTTGGAGTGCCTGGGAAAGGAAATAAGGCACCCCTCCGTGCTCCACTCAGCAAGCTGGGGGAGGGCTGAGACACATACAGGGGCCCAATTTTAAAACAAATTTCTCTCCTAGAAATAATGATCTAGAGACTTTCCTCTACCTGCCTGCACCTGGGTTTGCAACAGAACCCTCAGTGCACCAGAATGGGACTGGGAGTGAGTGGCCATCCCTTGGTCTCAGGGCCCCCAAACTCCTCAGCCTTGGGACCTGGGAGAGACCCCGCCCTCACCTTCTGGCTCTCTTCTTTCCCTAGCCGCAGCATCCAGCTGGCCAAAGGAAAGACCTTCTGGCACAATCCCCTGGATTGTCTGGGTGACTAAAAGGGACAGGATTGTGTGTCTCCTCCCCTCTGTTCTGCAGCAGGAATTTCCACTGTGGGAGGGGCATGTTGGCACAGACACTCGGGCTTTAGTTGGAGCTCCAGCCACACCCCTGCTATGGACAGCCCCAGGAAGGAGAGCTGTAGGTGGGATCCCCTCCCTATTCTGGAAGCCAGCTAGGGACCAGTGGGCAATGCAGCAAAGGCTCTGCACCCCAGCCCCCATATCCCACCCCCCAGTGGCTTGCAGTTTGGGGAACCATCCCAGGGTTGAAATGGGTAGATCTTCCCCAAACCTGTGGACAGGAAGGAGGCCAAGAGGGTGCGGAGCAGCATCTCCTCAGCACAGACAGCTGGGGACCTCTAAGCACCCTTGCTGAAGTGCTAGCCTTGAGTGGGGGACACAGGGCTTCAGAACCACCTGGCCGAAGCCCCAGGGGCAGGGCAGAGGGATCCTGCTCCAGATTCTCTGTTGGCCGCGCTTTTCAATCCAGTGCTTTTCAGAGTGTATTCACTCACCCACAGAAATAGAGCCTTGTGCTTTAGGGGTGACTGTCATATGCCTTATTCTTAATAAAATTGCTCAAAAAAACATGCACGTCAGACCTCTTCTCTGGGCACTCTTGCCCCACCCCATACCTGTTCCCACAGGAGAAGGAGAGTGGTTTGGGAATCAACCAGTGGGTTGGGTGAAATGGGTGACACAAAGCCAACTCTTGTTAAAAATTTTCAAGTAAATTTGAAGATTTAATTAGTTCTATTAAGCGACTCATGAATAGGGCAGCGTCCCATATAGTAGAGAAATTCTCCAGGGGCGTTGTACAAAATGGAAGGTGTTTATAGACAGGAGGACGGAGCAAACAGTTATTGGCCAAAGAAGAGATTAGGGAAAGTTTCAAGTAAGGTCACCCTCCTTTAGGAGCAAGGATGGGGGTGGGGGGGGTATGCAGATGACCTCACTAGGAAGTTCCAAACTGATTGGTTTAAAATTCCATTCCTGGGAGAGGCTGAAACTGCGATTACATTGGGTATTAAGCTCCAGTGTGATGGTGACTTGGCCTAGAAGTGATCCAATGTTGGACCTGTTTTTCTTTTTAACACTGTGGGGTCCCCTCAGTAAGTATTTCTCACAAGGCATGAGGCACTCATCTAAGCTGTCCCAATGCTTGGTTTAGCCTTGTCCCTCCCTCCATGCCACCCCAGTCCAAATGAACAAATGAGACCTTAGATCAGAGACTCCTAGCTAGGCTTGGGAGGGCTAGACTGGAAGGGCTCCGAGCCTGGAATCACATCTTTGCTGGTTCCTTGCCGGGTCCCCTTCCCTGACACCCACCCCCATTGGACCAAGCGGCAGGAAGCCCAGCATCCCAGAGATGAGCCCTACTCTTACCTCCCATTGGTGAGGGTTCTCCTGGGACTGTAGTTTGGGAGCTCAGCATGCGCAGCACCCACAAGAATTCAGGCCTACATGTCGTCAGCACAGGAGTATTTTCAGTCTAGGGAGTATAGGTCTACACTGTGGATAATGAGGATGGAGCAGTAGCTCTGCATTCTAAGGCTGCGGGGGACATCCTGGTTGTTTGTAACCCTGCTTCTGACAGTAGGACCCATTGCTTCCATTTGGAGACCTGCGCTTCTCCCATCTCAGTCCACATGTTGAGGGGACCCATGTGATCCTGGTAAGGGAGATCACACTGACTGGGTTGGAGATGGATTGATGGCTCAGTCTGAGCCAATGAGCATCAATCTCAGGACTTCTGGCACCATTCATTCAACACACCAAGTTAGATGTTAGGGATACAACAAGGAACAAAACAGGACTATTGTGAAGAGAACACTCATGGGTGGCTAAAATGGCAGAATACCATCCTGAAGGTCTGGCAGGCTGTTTGCCATTACAAAGCATAGGGTTGCCTGAATATGAAGCTACCACAACAGAAGCAGAATGTGGAGAGATGGAGATAATTCCTGATAATTAAGCTGCCTGGATCCAGCTATTCCTGTATCCCATATGCCCTTACCCTTTTTGGTTAAATGGACCAATAAACCCCCTGCCCTTTCCATTTGGTTTTTAAATGGTTTTAATTTGTGGGGTTTTTTTTTTTCATTGAGGATCCAAAAAGCATTTATTTTACAATACTCAGTAAAAGCATATTAAAATCGTCTGCCCTGCCCCTTAGACCTATAAAGAATTTAGTCATGCAAGTGACTAAATCCTATGTGAAGATGATTAATGCATCCAGCAACCTATTTCATTTCCAATTTTCCACTTCCAAATATTCCCTGTCAGGAGGATATACATTTCTTACATTAGTTACAGACTTGGCAGCATTTTATATTAAAAAGCTTCCATAAAACCAAAACAAAACCATAAAAAAACCATCACCAAATGCCTTTTTAAAAAAAATTCTTCACATAGTACTTGATGTATGTCTTCAGAATTCTCAACACGTTAGATCTACTTAAGCAACTAACTTCACTCAAGTTGCAAGAATGAATCTTTGCAAAGGCAAAAATTTTAGTTTCTCAATTTCTGTATTTAGAATACATGTATCACCTTCCAGTTGAGTTTGATACTAAACTTAAGGGAGATCAAGAATGAAAAAAAATGGTCATACAACCATCACAGGCAAAATTCTCTGTTCCTCTTCCATGCTGGAATACTGAGATGGCACTTGGGTAAAGGACATAGTGTTTTAAGGCAAGATGTTCATAGAGTTTTAAAGAAATCTGTGGCCTCTAATTTCTTTTGGTTTCCTCAACAAAATGAATTCCTTTGTCAAAAGACTCTTCAGAAGACTTCATCTACACTTCATAGACTTAAGTTATACCAACCTCTTGATATGTCATACACCTTCTTTTATTCTACAGAGGTTATATTGTAAAGCGGCCCTTGAGAAAAATAAATTAGAAAATTAAAAACTCACACCGCCTCCTACTGCTAGAAGGAAAATTTCATGAGGTCAAAATGCTCCACAAACTGCACAGTTCAATAAGAGCAAGGGGTTTGTCTTAGTTTTTCCTTTCTCTTCTTTTTTAATCAAATGATCTATTTCCAAATCAAAACCTCGAAAGGGTTGTGATCTACAACCCATACAAATGTACTGCAAAAAACACTATTATTAGGTATGACTTCAGAATTGGAAATCATCTTCCCCAAACATGTTTTTGACTTGAAAGGTGATGTAATTTAAAAAAAAAAAAGAAAGAAAATAAAGAGTGCTACCCTGCCCAACCAGGTGGATGGTTACTTTCCCAGATTTAAGGCAGTAATAGCAGTTGGCTTCTCCCCTCCCCAACCTACTAGGAAGTAAACTGCTCCATGTCAGCAGAACAGACTCAATATTCTGGGCATCTCATAGTCGGATGGTATGGCTATACTCCCGGGCTTCCTAGACTTTGATGATTTTTTCCATATTTAAAGTTAGGCATAATATCACCCAACTTTCACTGATATACTTCTGTCTTCAAAATTTGACAAACAGCTCTTCGAGGCATCAGGTGCCTGCCCTATCCACCTCAATCCCGATACTGTATTAAAATCATGGAATACGAAACACAAACACAAGCAATAGTTTGAGGGTTCTTTTAAAATGACACTTACATTAAAAGTCTTAAAATGAAGAGAGCGATTAAATGCACATCTGGAATTAAAAATTACAATTAGAATTTCTCGTGGCACATCAAAACAGTAAAATTTTGCTCTTTGCTTCTAGAGGAATACCCTAGAACAGATAACCAAAAGAAAAAGAAAAAATATAAATATAAAAGGGGGACTAAATACCTGAACAGTTGAATAAAATGCAACAAGAAAAAGGAAAAACAAAGTTTAAAACTGCAAGACAAGGAAGTTACATTTTAAAGGCCAGAAATAATAAATCCACTAAACAGTAGGCCACTGTCCTGGCTCCTTCAGGGATGATTACTGAAAAGTAACTGGGAAGTGGTTTGGGGAATAGCAGATTCTGGGATATGGTGGGAGGAATTTCACCAGTTTCTTCACTAGTGTTTTTTCTGTACCAGGTGTTCTATCTAGGATCCTACTGCATTTATAGTTATTTTTCCTTAGTCTCCTCCAATTTGTGACACAATTTTTAAAGCTATTTTGAGTTATGTTTTAGTGCCTTGCTAACCCCAAGAGTCCTGATGATATCCAAGAATAAAGGGTTAGTGGGGGAGAAACAAGTAGACCCCAACTAATAAAATGCATTGAATAAAATATTGTCAGAGCTCTAGGGAGAGAGTGACCACTTCTAGCTGTCAGGACTAAGAAGGAGTTCAACAGACACAGTGATATCTCAGCTGGACTTTGTAGATCTGGGATTGGCTTCCACATCTGCCTCATGACACTTCTCCCAGAGCAGTTGGCATCGAGAAAAGATAAATGACTTAAAATGACTTACTCAAGGACACAAGATGTCAGGGATGGAGCTAGACTTGCACTCAAATGTATTGGTTCTTACCCAGTTGCTTAGATGGAGCAGGCAGCCAGGCTTGGGTGGCCTTACCTCAATTCCTTGCTCCAGCCTCTGGGCATCAGGTTTGAGCCAGGACCAGGGAAGCCTGGGAAGTATTGCCCAGCCCTGGATAAACATCTGCCCAGGATTCTGGAGTTCCATGTTCAATTTGAGAAAAAGGAGAGAACAGGAAGGAAGAGAAAGAACTGGCTTTATTTAGGGTTCTTCTACAGAACCCCTGGGGGTGCAAGTCTGAGCCGAGCCCAGAGTCACAGTGCAGGGTGAAGATGTGCCATGTCAGCCCTGCATAACTCAGAGATCATCTATGCAACCACTTCATTTTATGGATGGGGAGACTGAGGCGCAGGGCATTTTGCTGTCATCCTTTCCCTCCTGGCAGTCCTGCCCATACAGGTTTAGGGTTGAGGGAGGTGGAGCATTTCCTCTCTTATGAGTCCCTAGAGTTAAGTCAGTGAAGTAGGGGACTCCCTCCTGCAATCCAGGGGTTTGGGTTCCTGTTTACCTCTCCTCCTTGGGAACTCTGAAAAGGAGAGGGGGGAAATAAGACAGCTCAGCTGAGTGGGTGTATCCATCATAATTAGGGAAGTGGGAGGCTTTAAGTGGGCTAATTTTATGTAGACTAGGTCTTAGCTTCAATAAACCTTTCTACTTACTTAGCACCTTTACCCAGGGGCCCTAAAGATGGGGAAACTGAGGTGCTCAGGAGTGCCACCCAGGCAGCCCTGAGGATGGGGACTGTGTAACAGGAACCTGCTAGGGAAAGGGGATGGGGATCCATAGAAGCCAAGTGGCAGGTTCTAAGTCAGCTGAGACTGGTTAGTCACTAGGCCTATGGGCAGACTGGTCACCAACAGCCATGCTTACCAGTAGGTACTCACAGCTTTGGCCATGAAGGGGACTAGGGAGGAAGGCCAGGGCATGGTATGGGCTGGTACCTCACAAGGGCTCAGCCTGGTGGGTTTCAGTCAGGCATAAGAGAAATGATCTGAAGCTGTGGATACAAAGGTCAAAGCACACAGTACACAAAAGGGATATCTGCAAGGAAACCCCAGATACTATAAATAATGATGGGGGCCAAAGGTGAACCCCTGGGCTGCTAG